CAGCTTTATTTTTGACCATTTGGCTAGGCTGCAAATTTTTAAAATTTTTGAGCTCTGCTTCTCATTTAAATAGAAGTTGCAACTTGAGGTCATTTCTTAGGTTGCACACAAGAACACAGGCTATTTGACTCAGACAGGACACCTCTTGAGCTATGCTGCCTAGATGTTCATTCCACTAGATACATCCTAAATGATCACCCCCAAGTTCATAGTTTCACAGATCTCCAGGGCAGGGTCATGGTGCAGCCACATTCTTTGCTAAGGCCAATCAAATGTAACCTTGGCTCCTGTTCACAGGAAATTCCTCATTTTCATCTGAGACCTTTTAAGTCCGGCCTTCACTGTCCATCCTTCTGTCAACCCTCTCATCACAAGTATTTAACAATTCTTTTCAGTGGTCCAAACTTTTCCTCATCTTGCTGTCTTCTAAGTGTTCCCAACTTTCCCGACTTCTGTCTTTTACCCACTTCTGAACCTGCGTCTACATTCTCAGCTATCTTTGTCACAGCCTGGTAATGTGTAAAAGAAGAAAAGTCCATTTTCAGGGGAAAATTCACGAAGGCTTCAGATATTTTCATGAAAAGAAGCTGAGTGCTGGTTGCCAGGACAATGGGGAAAAGGCCTTGAAGGCATTTCATAACTCCACTTCACAGCACTAATTTTGTGTATAATCATAAAGAAAAGAGGTTTAATTGGCTCACGGTTCTGCAGGCTTTAAAGGAAGCATAGTGGCTTCTGCTTCTAGGAGGACTCAGGAAGCCTCCCAATCATACCAGAAGGCCAAGGGGCACAGAGATGCTTCATATGGCAGGAGTAGGAGCAAGACTGAGAGAGGAAAGAGGTCCCATACCCTGTTATACAACAAGATCTCATGAGAACTCAGTATCACAAGGTCAGCATTAAGAAGATGGTGCTTAACCACTGGTGAAGGATCTACCCCACCAACCTCACTTCCACCACCCACTGTTTCCAGGCAGAAGCCCGCTGCACAGGCAGAGCCAGATTCATAGACCCAACAACAGCTTGCACCCTCACTATGGAAAAGCTACAGGCACTCAACACTAGCCCAGTCCATGAGAGCAACTGTGGGGACTAAAACCTGCAAAGTCACAGGTGCACTGCCCTAGCAGTTTTCCATGAGGCCATGCCTCGGAAGCAGGCAACTCCCCACTCCCACTACACCCCACCCTTCCACCACCCTACAGCCAGCCTACTCCTCTCCACCCTACCCACCTCTTTTTCCTTCCACCACTACCCACCTTCCATCCATGATTAAATCACTCCCACCAGGCCCTCATCCTTCTGTCATTCTCTAATCCCTCCAAACCATCCCAATCTCTGTTTGCTACCCACTTTCAACCTGTTCCTACTTTTTCAGGTATCTCTATAGCAGGTTAGCTATGTAGCAATAACACAAAACCCGATTTAAGGGGGAACATTCAAGAAGACTTCAGAAATTTGCATATAAAGAAGTCCTGTGCTAATAGCCAAGACAAATGGAAAAAGGCCTTGAAGACATTTCACAGCTCCTCTCTGCAGTTCTAATTTTCTGTATTATCATAAATAAAAGAGGTTTAACTGACTCGGGATTCTGCAGGCTGTGAAGGAAGCATAGTGTCTTTTGTTTC